TAAACAGAAAGGAAAGAGCAGGAAGGCAGCTCTGTAGGAAGTGAACTTGGGGTGGAGTTAAAGGATCTATTAGCTTAGAACACAGAATAAAAGTGCCCCCATGTTCTACACATTGAGATAGTCTTGAGTTCACTCAGGGAGGAGAGAGTAGGTGACCGAAGAAAATAATAATGAGATCATGAAGGGTACTAAGCTCAGAGACTGAGACTCATTCTCCATGCTAGGATTTTACGAAAATTAAATGCTGGCAGGGTGTTGTGATGCAAATCTTTAATCCCAGTACTCAGAGGCCAACCTGGTCTACATAGCAAGTTCTAGAACATCTAGGACTACATAGAGAAATCCTGCCTTGATTTCATTACTATTGTTACCACTGCCAGACAAGATACAGAATGAGCTGGAAGGGACCTCTCACTCTGTGTGTGTGTGTGTGTGTGTTTGTGTACACTTACATACTACATGTGTTCAAGTACCCAAAGAGGCCAGAAGAAAGTGTCATCCAATCTCCTGAAGCTGGAGTTACAGGTGGCTGTGGGGCCTCCTGGTGTGTATTCTAGGAACTGAACTTGGGTCCTCTGGAAGAGCCGCAAGCTCTCTTAAATTTGGGCCATCTCTCCAGCCCCTAGGTAGGATTTTAAAGGAAAGACAAGAGAGATACAAACAAGAAGGGGACAGCAAGAGCGTTCTGGGGCATGAAGAAAGTAACCCTAAATTATGGAAGGAAGATGAGTTTGGCATGTTTCAGAGACAGCCCTGCTGGAGGAAATGAGTCAGGATCTGAGGGTAGCTGGAAGACAGATATCTCCATCCCTTTCAATATGTAAATAAACCCCAAACATCTCCACCCCTTGTCTGCTCTACATTTCTCTCTCAATACCCCCATCACTCACCTGCTGTATGTCATCTCCAGGTATTGATATTCTGTCCCTCCCCACCTGCCAGTCATCTGGCTACCAATTACACCGGTGAAAACAAAGATGAGGGAGGGGCTGGAGATGTGCTCAGTTTCATTTTGGAAGAGCTCTTCAGGAATCCACAGCCAGAGAGTCCCGTGAGGTGCCAGGACCTTGCCCCAGAGGTCGTCTCAGCTGTAGTATTCACTACCTCTCTCCCCTTCCCACTTTGGTTCTCTAGGTTTCTTCTGGGATTCAGATTGGCCAGCTCAAAGGCACATACAAAATGTGTAAATTTGGTTCCCTTGGGATTCCATTTCCCACGGGGAGCCCTGTGAACTGAGCTCCTCATACTCCTGCTTTTATTCTGTAATAGTTCCAGGGAGTGTGGATGCTGGGAACCCAACTTAGGTCCTCTGCAAGAGTAGCAAGTGCTCTTATGAAAGGTTTGCAGCGGAAGGGAGGAAAAAGAATGTACAAGAACCGGAAATTGAAAGGTTTTGAAAGGTTTGCAGTACATTATGGCAAATCCCATCAAGGCAGGGATTGCTTTTCCAACCAGTCTGTCACCGTTTTTTGCTTTAAGCAGCATTTGCCCTTGGTGAAGCCTGGTGGAACCTGGAAATTTGGGACGCAAGCCCAGTGGATTCTAGGTGCCACTTCCTCTCGTTTCTTTGACTACTGAAGTTCACTTATGCTATGTTTGTTCCATACTTTGCCAACTAGATCTTCTTGTTGAAATGTGAACTCTTTCTTCCCCTATCCAGTTAAAGCCTGTGGTAAGAACTTTATTTTAAAAATGAAATATTACAGCCAGGCATTGGTGGTGCACACCTTTAATCCCAGCACTCGGGAGGCAGGGACAGTAGGATCTCTTGAGTTCGAGATGAGCCAGGTCTACAAGATCTAGTTCCAGGACAGCTTCCAAAGCCACAGAGAAACCCTGTCTCAAACCCCCACCACACCCCCAAAATGAAATATTACTGTAACCTGGCTACTGTGGTCTAACACCTCAGAGTTAATTCAAAACAGCAGAACTCTGGGGATTACTTTAATACAGATTTGTTTTCCTAGACATGGCTTCTCTGTGTAGCCCTGGCTGTCCTGGAACTCACTCTGTAGATCAGGCGGACTTCAAACTCAGAAATCTGCCTGCCTCTGTCTCCCAAGTGCTGGGATTAAAAGTGTGCACTACCACCACCCAGCTCAATACAGATACTTTATTATTCAGTTTTTTTCTCTAAGTAGATGAACTTTCCTGATCCTTACACAGACAAATGTCTTCCTAGATTCCCAGCTCATGATGTCCTTTTGTGGTACAGGATCATCCCTAAGTAAAAGATACACAGTGCTTGCCCACAGAAGAGCCAAGGCTAGACCCAGGTACATAAATGCAAACAAGGTCCCTGCCCTGGAGAAACTCAAAATGTACTGTTTTGAGGTAGATAATTAAATAACTCGAAATATAGCTGTGCTTTGCATATGCCACAGCAGAAGTGTCTAGAAAGCACTGTGAAATCACAAAGGGGAAGATTCACTCTTGCAGGATGACGGATGAGGAAGGAAGGGAACTTCAGAGAGACCATCAGTTCTGAAATGGGTGGTGAAGGCTACGAGTGCATCAGGCAGTGGTGCATGGGAAGGAGGTTCTAGGCTACCAGACAGCCTTGGTCCTAGGCTACCAGACAGCTATGGTTCTAGGCTACCAGAGAGCTATATAAAAAAGATACAGAATAAGAATAAGGGATGGGAATGATCGGTGGTCAGTACTTCCACAGCAGAGTACTCCTGATGACACCAGGGCCGGAGAAGCAGGCAGGGCCTGAACACAAAGGCCTTGGATGTCCACCTTGGTTATAGTTGTTCTTCTAACCAGGCATCTACAGATTTGAAGAAGCGGGGCCATTCATTGACTCTTTAGACTGCTACCACTTCTGTCTACTAGATCCTTTACATTTTCCTGGTCCCCTGATCCCTGTTTCTCCACACAGGTCTGGATGTCTATCCCCCACAGGTTCCAAGGCTCTGAAAACTACCAGGATTTGGGGACAACTGATGCTTTTCAGAAAGGATTGTAGGTTCTCCCCTATGACACCATAGACTGCACACAAGAGATTCAGATGCTTGGACCTAGGCCAGACGGATCTGTTCTCTCCTTGAAGGAGGAGAATTAGATGTTCAGTCTTTGTGAATTTTGGTAGTTTTTTTAAAAAAATCATTACATTGTATTGTTTTGTGTATGGAGATCAGAGGACATCCTTCACAAGTCAGTTCTCTTTTTGACCATGTGTGTCGCAGGGATCAAACTCAGGTCATCAGATCATCAGCAAGGGCCTCTGCTCACTGAGCCATCTTACCATTAGGTCATTCAATCAACTCTCCTGCCTCCATCTCCCTGGTGCTTCGATTACTGGCATGTACCACCACATTTGGTTGGTTTATGTGATGCTGAGTATTGAACCCATGGCTTCATACATGCTAGGCATGCACTCTACAAACTGAGCCACATCCCAGGCTCCTGTTATTTTTGAGTTTTGTGCCTAGTTCTTCAGTAGAAGAATGTGGAGCTGGTTAGCAATCTTCCTGCTCAATGTGTGGTCTCCTAAGGACAGAGCTGAGACACAAACTCGGGTCCCCTGAACTCCAAATCCAGTGATCTTGTGGGTGTGTCCCAGCTCCTGGTTCTGTCTACCTACTTATGGAACAGACTAATGTACTTGGTTGCCTCAAATCTACAGGGTCCTGACAAGAGAGCTGGAGCAAAAGGAAGATTGTGTTCCCAGAATGGAATTCGGTTGTGCCTCAAGTAAGGAATAATTATGTCTTCTGCTACCTCATCCTCTCTTTTTCCTGTAAAATAAATGGTAGCAGAACTAATTAATTCTTCAGCTACGGATGAGTTAGAGACCATGTTGCTTGTCTGTTGTGGTTTAGCGATGGATGAGGGATGTTCAAGTTGAGGACTCTTCGAGTCAGAATTGGAAACTTCAGGACCCTCTCCTACAGCAGACTGAGCCTAGAAGACCCCCAGAGCCAGAGGACAGGGTTTCCTCTTGGCAGGGAGCCTGGTTTTTGTTTTCCTTTGAAAAATTCAAGCAGAGAAATGTTGCTTATTTCCGGTTCTTGTACATTCTTTTTCCTCCCTTCTGCTTGTTTTAAGCTAGGGTCTCATGTAGCCCAGGATGACTTCAAATTCTCTATGTAGCTGAATGTAGCCTAGAACTCTTAATTTTCTGCCACTGTCTCTCCTGCAGATTACAGGCATGCACCCCCAATGCACGGCTATATAGTTTCTAAAACAGCTGAGCAGGCAGGGCAACCGAGCAGAATTCCAAAGCCACTCACTTCAAAGACTTCAAACGTGGGGAATGCCGTGTGAATATAGTACAAGGGAAGCATTTTGTGTTGGGCCCCAGCCCCCACGGGGTCTCTCTGAATTGACAGGGGCATCCTGTTCTCTAGTCCTGGCTTACAGCCCGGGCTTGCCCACTGGCATCAATTACACCTAGGTTTTCTCAACTGTGTTGTAAGTGTATATAAGGCTGCTCTCCTCCTGGAATAAGGAAGATGAATAAAGTTGGACAGACGTCTCTGCTTTTAACTAAATCTCCAGGCTTTTGCCTGATACTCGGATTTAGTCGTGGTGCGGACGCCAAGCGGAGGTTCCATTAGACTTAGTCATAGCGCGGACGCCACAATTTTGCCTACTAAAGTATATTGGTGAAATAAGTATGGCTATTGTTCGGTAAATCTAGAAACGTGGGGGAGTATGTTGATCGTGCTCTTTCCTTAGGCGACATAAAGGTTTGGAATGTTCTGGGTCTCTGGAAACCAAGCCTTGACCAGTTTAGGTTTGCCAAATGCCAGGTTTCAGCTTTGTTTTTTGTCTTGTTTTGTTTTGTTTCCTCTCTGGCTCTGATTTCTATCCAGTCCTGTGAAAGGAAAGCAGGACACCTTCAGAGTCGTATGCCACTCCGCTGTCCAGGCGTTAGAAGCCCCGCTTACAGTCTAGAGACCGCTTCCGGGTTGGGTGGGCGGCTCCCGCCAGTGGGCGTGGCCGGGATGTGGGCGGGTCCTGGGAGAGGGCCGAGTGTGGGCGGGGACACCTCCCGTCTGTGCCCGGAAGTGCCCGTGGGGACAGAGATGAACCGGCCGTTAAGTCCCTGACACCGTGTCCCCGGCCTTGAGGGCAGTGGCCTGCTTAGGAACTACCTCAGCCGCCGCGTTCCCGAGCCGCCGTTACCGCCCGGGACGATGATGCCCCGCCTGCTGCTGCGCGCCTGGCCCCGCCGCCGGGCGCATGTTTTGGGAGCCCCAAGTCGGCCCTTGAGTACCAGCTCGGGACCCGACAACGAGTACCTGCAACACAGCATCGTGCCCACCATGCACTACCAGGATAGCCTGCCAAGGTGAGCCGAGCCTCCTGGCCCCCGCCGCAGGCCTGACTCCTGGCACTTTGGACTTGCACCGAACCCTTTCCTCACTACCCCGGAGTCAGGTGCCCGGATTTGGAAAGACTGAGCATGAAGACTCAGAAACCTTAAGGTCCCCTCCGCAACCTCCGGTCTACAAGTTTCATCTTGAATCCTACTAACTTCCTGTCCATTGATCTCTCAGACAGCTATCCTCAGCCTCTCACAATTAACTACCTTCCTACTCGGGTAGCCATTTCCTAACACCGATCACCCTCGGGTCAATTTCCACCTTCTTTGCCTGTTCCTGAGAGATCTCAGCCCACTCCTCTTCCTACAGTACCCTGCTCTGTTAGCGCCCCATCAGTTGTGGCAAGCACACCTTTATCATTCTAAGATCAGCCCCTGGCCAAGAAACTTTTTTTTTTACCTAGAAGCTTTTCATACCCATCGAACCTTCCTCAGCATCCCTTCAGATGGCTCCCAATACTCACCAGACTACCTGACCTACCAAAACAGCCCTAATAAGTGTCCCTCTCCCCCATAGCCAGGACTTCCTTAAATCTGGCATCTAGTTTTCTCTTTGATATCTCAGCTTTGATCTAGGTTGACAGAGCTATTCCATTAATAGAAATTACCTTCACTCTAAGCCAAACCTAAACTGTCTTCTCTGCGCTTACTGTTTATTTCCCAAACTGAGCTCTAAACCTGTCTCAAAATCCCTTTTCACTGTTCTTCTGGCCCAGCCACCAGGGATCCTCCTGACCAGGAGCTGGAGGTCAGGAGTATTAATCCCTCCTGTGGGGTTTGTGTTTTCCCCCACATCCAGCAGTTATTTAAGCCAGTGTCACTGCCCACCCTGCTTTCTCAGCAAGAACACACAGTGTGCAAACTTGTAAGACAAACCACAGTAAGGGTTATCTGAATTCAGCAGAAGGTGGGAGATAGAAAGGGGGTGTTTGTGGGGAGAGGGTGTAACCTGGGCTCTTCTGACAGCCTGTGTGAGCTGCACCAGTATGTAGGGGAAAGGTAAGGACTTAGGAGGACCTGTTTTTATTTGCTGAGTCAGATGGTTCTGACTTTGAGGCAGGCCTGAGCCTCACCCAGGTTTAAAACCAAATGGACCTTTGGCAGTTGAGAATTGGGAAACTGTAAGAATCCTCAGGATAATTTAGTCCCATCCACAGCACAAACATCTGTAAGATCCTGGAAGTAGAAACAAGAGGTCAGGTGTAGTGGTGAGTGCCTTTAATCTTTGCACTTAGAAGGTGGAGACAGGCGGAGTTCAAGGCCAGCCTGATTTACATAGTGAGTTCCAGGATATCCAGAAGTATAGTGAGAACCTGTCTTGAAAAAAGAAAAACAAACCACTGGACAAAACAAAAAGCACATTACTACTGTACCCCCTCAAGGAGCAGCCAAATTTCCTGGTGCCTCATCTAGAAGTGGGGGTTAAATGAGATACTTTTTGTCAGCAATTCTGGGCTAGTAAAATATATTCTGACATTCATACTGATGTCACACTTGGCAGGGAGCCCTGACCTTGATGTCTGGTAGAACTTGGTTTCAGATTCAGTATCTGCCACTAGAGTTTAGTTTTGCACATTTAAAGAGCCACAGTCACCTGTGAGGTGAATTGCAGCACACAGTTCTTTGGACTATTAGGAGGTACTTGATATCAGCGATGGGAAAATCATTGTCACTCTCTATTCTGTTCCTCTTATCACTGCTTCCTTATCACTGGCCTCGGACTCTTTCTAGTAGGAGTTCTTGGATTTGCTTTTTTTTTTTTTAAGTGTTGTGGGTTTTGTTGTTCTGTATATACTAAGATGTATATAACTGGGTCTAGAGAAACGGCTCGATGCTTAAGAGTGATTGCTACTCTTTTGGAGGACCTGAGTTGGGCTCCCAGCACCGCATCTAACAGCTCCCAACTGCTTATAACTCCAACACCAGAAGGAGTATTTAAACATACCCATATAAAGCCCTTGTGCAAAGTTTGACTAGGTGTTAGCACAGTTTCACCACTGAGGCCTTGAGGAATGTTGGGCTGGAATGTTTAGTGGGAGAGGCCTTGTGGGGAGTCATATTAAATCTATAGTTGATCCATAATAAATGCCAGTTATCTGTTGCTTTTCTTTTAATTGCCCCCAGTGATAGCAGGTGTTCAAAACATAATGAGCAGATTGTAGAATCCACCTGTGGGAGGCCAGAGAAGCAGAGTTTACCTGGCCACTAGGGTGACAGGTAGAAACTAATTTGTGAGCCCCCAAAGCACGTCTTTTAGGCCAGTTTTCTTGACATCCAGAATAACTTTATTCCTAAGTGACTCTTGTGAACTCTATCCCAGATATAACTAGGTCCTGTAGACAGAGAAGGCATGTCAGCTGTGTTCTTACAGTACGAATGCCACAGTCCCTGCTGTTGGGAGGCAGACCAGGTGTGAGAACAGGTGACACGGTGGCTTACCCAGGAGGTAAATCTGCTTAGCATTTTCCCTTCACCTTTATTAGGGTAAACGACTATTAGATGGGGGTAGAGTGGGAAACACATGTGGTTGAGATGAAATTGCTGCAAGTGTGTCTCCGGACTCTGGCTCTATCTTTTTTGAGCCTGGCCACTCACCCATAGGAGCCAAAGGAATTGCTATATGTATATTGGCGGCTACATCTGGTGTTTTGAGCAATGCGGAGGAAACCAGGGTGGTAGGTAGAGACCAAAGTGCCCTCCATTGTGATCTTGTTACTAGAAGAATGGCTGGTGACGCTGTATAAAAAGATTGTTGTAAGGTCTTTGTACTTGTTGCAGAAAGTCCAGTTAAACTGGCTCAAGTACTCACACAGGCTTCCAGAATCCACATGATGCTGTTTTGCCTTCCTGCTGACCTCTTCATTTGTGCGACTTCATTCTCAAGCAAGTTTTCTCCTCAGGGTTGCAGAGAGGGAGCCAGCACATGAGACATAGCTTACACCAAAATCTCTTGGTAACCAAAGCTAATGAAGATTGCCCATTACTAGAAATTCCAAGACAATCTGTCTTATTGTTTTTCACTGGGTCTCCTAAATTCTGACCAGGAGGCCATAAGCCCACATTCAGGGTAGTTTTTCCTCACCTTACTTAACCCAACTAAGAAAATTCCTCACAGGCATGCTTATACAGTTTCTCATTGAAATCACTCCCTTGCGATTCTAGAATGTATCAAGCTGACAATTAAAAACAGTCATTACATAAGATAGTAGTCGGGGCTGGCTGGCTGGTCAGCTAGCTGCAAGCATCCCTGTCTACAGATACATCTAGTGCTAGGATTACACCGATGCTGCCACACCTAGCTTTTTTTTTTTTTTTTTTTAAGTGGGTTCTGGGGGCTCAAACTCGGGTCCTCATTTGTGTTAATCAAGTACTTTTTTGATTGAACCATCTTGCCAGCCCAGAATTCACTGTTTTCAAGTATATCGTTTTTTAGCGTATTAATAGCACTGTGTAACCATTGGAATTCATTTCATCATCCTTCCTCCCGAAAACCCTGCTGTTAATTAGACACATCCCATCCTGCCTGGCACCCACTGTAACCCTTGATCTTCGTTCTGGAGGGTGACTTAATGTTTGAACTCAGGATTGTCAAATGTCAACATTTGTACATTTTCCAGCATGCCATATTATCTCTAAGGAGAATAAGCACAGTTGGCAAGATCATCGTAAGGACTCAGGCATTATGCTGGCCTGCCCCGGTCACCTGGCAGAATGTACTCCGGCAGTACCCTGGCCAGCCCAGGGTTCCATGGCTAATGTAATCTGTACACAGGTGCAAAGGACCCTTTAAAAGACCCCCTCCCCCTGCTGTAGGGGTAGACAGGACTTTTCCTGTCCCCCTCTTCTCTTTCATCCTCTGTCTCTGTGTCTCTTTACCTCTTTTCTCTTTCCCCACTTCCCTTTCTAAACTTCTCACTTAAGCTCTGTCTGCCTGGCACATTTGTTCCACCTGCCATGGAATCTGCCAAGGTCCCCCACGTACTCTATTATAACAATCATGCTGCCTCCAATTTCACTCTTACTTCCTGCTTGGAGGAATCTGTAAAAGTTGAAATGGTCCAACTAGAGTAATAAACTGTTGGAATATATACAGTCCTAAGAAGACTCAGATGTTTAGGATGAGGGGAGACAGGGAAGAAACATAAATGATGTCAAAACCTATGGGATAAGGGAAGAGAGTTGCTAACTGTATCTTCTGTATGATAAGTATTTCAAGCATACATTAATGGTCTCACAGTCTGGTAAGGAGAAAACTAAGAACTGCCACTAAGCTAAAATGAAGCTGCTTATTTGTAGTGTGTGGTGTGTGTTGTGGCATCCTCACCACGACTAAATCTAATGGCACGGACGGCACAGTGGAGGTTCCATGATTAAGTCCGAGTATTGGGCGAAAGCCTGGAGATTTATTTAAAAGCAGAGATGTCCAGCCGATTATGCTATGTGTGTCTGTGGTCTTTGCAGGGATGGAGCAGCCTTATATACACTTATAGCACAATGGAAAAACCCCAGGTGTAAGAGCTCATGTTTTTGATGCCAGCTGTAATCCAGGACTAGAAAACAGGATGCATCTGTGGTTATCAACTCATGGAGACCCCATGGGGGCTGGGGCCCAACATTTCTCCCAACAGCTCCCCCTTCTTTATATATCAATAAATGAAAATCTGTACCAATACAAAGCAACGAGAGAAAATTCATACCAATACAAAGTATTTTGGGGAATTTGGGTGTCGTTCATTTCAAACTGCTTCCTGCTGAATGGGGATGCTGTCATGGGGATCATGACAAAACACAGAAACTTAGCTAAGTCCTTGTTTTTGTATTTGGACTCTCTGTGTATTTTCCTTTTTTATTCTATTTTTTTACTTTTCACTTTCTGTTTGAGACAGCATTTCTCTGTTTCCAATCCAACTCTCTTAGGAGTTGAGGCACCCATTTTCCAGTGCCTTTACCAATCCACCCTCATAAACCTTACTTGCTGGCACCAGCCTTCCGAGGGCAATTTCTCAGGGTCCCCTTTCTTTCCCGATCTCGGTGGAACCTCAGGGTGTGTGTGTGTGTGTGTGTGTGTGTGTGTGTGTGTGTGTGTGTGTGACACAAAAAAAGCATGCATGTGTTATATGGACATTCCCGTGCTGTGGTGGATATGTGGAGGTCAGAGGACAAATTGTTGTAGGTTCTCTTTCACCATGTGGGTCCCTGGGGATCAAACCCAGGTCATTAGGCTTGGCAATAAATACCTTTATGCACTAAGCTCTTGTTGACTGTCGCTAAATTTGATAGAGGAAAAACTGAGACAGTGGATTTTTCTTCCTAGGAGTGGGCCTTTATTGAGAAAGTAGTTTGTTATAATACTGTTTGAACTGGCATAGTGGCTCACCCCTGTAGCCTCAGCACTTGGATGGCCAAGGCAGGATTGCCATGAGTTCTAGGTCAACCTGGATTTTATAGCATGGCCTTGTCCCCAAAACAACAGTGAAGGAAGTTTGGTCTTCTGTGGCCCATGTGATACTACCTTCTGTCATGTGCTGTGGTAGCCAGATGGCCTTCAAGAATCTAGCATTCTGCCAGGTGACATGGCTCACACCTTTAATCTTAGCACTTGGGAGGCAGAGGCAGGTGGATCTCTGTGAGTTCTAGACCACCCAGGACTACATGGTGAGCCCTTGGTTCTAAATAATAAAAGTCTAGCCTTCTCAGACTCCTCCAGCCTCCAGAGTCTGAGAAGTTGCTTTGTAAATGATGTCGTCTTGTATTATAACAGCATAAAACAGACTAAGGCTGAGTAGAAGAGACAGTATCAGCTAATTCATCCAACATAAGCTTATCAAAAGCCTTCCCTGTGTTGGCCCATGTTAGTGATCAGAGAAGAAATTCTACAGGAAGAATTATGAGTGGAAAGGGTCTTCTTTATAAGACCACAACCATCTTCGTGGCTTCATACCTATCGACATCACACTGGCATCTGGAAACTGGTCCTGGTGGGAGTGTTTATATAACACAGAAACCAGCAGATGCTACAACTCTGGGTCATCCCAGGAGCTCTCCTACAGTGAGCCCAAACAAGTCTCTCCTCCTCTAAATTATTTTGCTTAGGGCTTTAGTCACAGCAACAAAATCTCCCACATTATGCAATTAGTAACTCAACCCACTGTCTCTGATTTAGGATTTTCCTTAAAACGAAGGACAAACTTTCCTTACACCCTTGGTGTTAAAGCCTAAGAAATATAAGTAATAAATTTTGTGATCATGAGGTAGCTGAGGTGGTATTTGGAACTCCCTGTGTAAACCAGTGCATGAAAGGGGGTCAGTGGGGCTAAAGTGTCCAGAAGGGTTACTTGGAGTATCTAAGTTCATAATGGCTATAAATAATTGTTATTTTTATTGTCAAGTTGTAGATAAACATGCATTCAAAAATAAATGGGTGCAGTGTATTATATCATAAAATGAGCTATGCTTTATGGATAATGGTTCAGATTTCCTGAGTGACTAATACAGTTCAGTATTTTAATATAAACATATAACTGTTGATAGAAGTTATATCTTGGTAGAAGTAAAGTAAGCTATTATTGTGTTAATAACTAGGGGGTGTATTTTTCAATAAAACCATTGAAATAGGAGAGAAGAGGCCATGTTGTCTGCTCTACATTTCACCATTGGACAAGTATCCTCACCATCATAGCCACAATTTGGGAATCTGCTGCTAGTGAATAAGGCAGCAGTGGGTGCCCTTGCTGTCGTTTGAGCACATGGGGTTCCCTCATGATTCCTGACTGGATGCTGGTGCTAGGCCTGGCAGAGTGGTCAGTTTCTATCTTTCAGTGTGTGCAGCCTCCATACTGAGCTGAGACAGGGTTTCTCTGTGTGGTCATGGCTGTCCTGGAACTTGCTCTGTAAACCAGGCTGGCCTTGAACTCAATGGGCCACCACAGCCATCTTTGTTTCACTCTTGTGTGATTCTCTTGTAAAATGCACAAGAATGTTTTAGAAATAAAGCTTTTTTTCTTTGCATCTTGGGTGGTAGGGAATGTATGTTCAGTCAAAGGGTAGGCTTTAGTGCTTGCGGTACAATGTTAGCAGTTACTATAGCTGTGGCCAGGAAACAGGAATGCTGGGATAGCCTCTATTTTCCCATTTTGAATCTGTTGTTATCATTACAATAGCAAGGTGGTGGGGGCACAAATCCTTAATCCCAGTATTCAGGAGGCAGAGGCAGGCGGATCTCTGTGAATTCCAGACCAGCCTGGTCTACAAAGCAAGTTCCAAGACAGGCTCCAAAGCTACAGAGCCTGTGTCAAAAAAAAAAAAAAAAAGTATAATTTTACTTAGAATAAACTTAATCATTGATTCAGTAGTTCTGATTTTTTAAAAAGACTTTTTATTTTATTTGTTATGTATACAGCGTACTGTCTGCATGTATCCCTGCAAGCCAGAAAAGGGTACCAGATCTCATTGGTACCATGTGGTTGCTGGGAATTGAACTCAGGACCTCTGGAAGAGCAGCCAGTGCTCTTAACCGCTGAACCATCTCTCTAGCCCAGTTCTGATTGCTATTACTCATTTATTTACTGTGGTGCTAGGGACCTCATGCATGCTAGGGAAGTGCTTTACCACTGACCTATGTCCCCGCCCCTCCATCAGTTCTGTCTTGTTAACTGACTTTTCCTTTTTTCTTTGTTTGTTTTTAAGGGGGATTAATTACACAGTAGTGTTTACTAGTTTGACTTGTAACGCTTCTTGGTTGACCTGTCCCACGGGTCCAGTTATTCAGGGTCCGAAGGGGGGCTGTCTGAAAGAGTCATGGGCGAGAGAAAGAAAGGAGACCAAGCGGCGCGAGAAAGGACTAGAGTCCATCTGTGCGATGTCAAGGTCTCGATTTATTGGGGCTTAGAGTGGGCTTAAATAGCCCTGCAACAATAGAATTGGGGGGAATAACAGAAGGAATATCTGGTATTTGCTGGGGCTGGAACATTCTTCTTGTCAGCCGGAACATCTTGTGGTCTTCCTTGGAACATCGAACGGAAAAGCCCCAGACCCTTTCTCGGAACAGAAGCAGTTAGCAGTTCCGCTCGGCCAAACCATGTCTAATTACAGGTTACAGGAGACTCACAGAGCTGGCTTTAAGCCGAAAACTTAAAGGTCATTAAAAGGCTTACAAAGGTGGGCTTTAAGCCGAATAGTTTTGGGCCCATGGCCCCTTACACTTGGTGTCTTCCCATACTGTCAGTCTCACACTGACCTTGCTTTCCCCCCAGGCTGCCTATCCCCAAACTTGAAGACACCATGAGGAGATACCTCAGTGCACAGAAGCCTCTCCTGGATGACAGCCAGTTCAGGTAAACACTGAGAATCCTGGGAACCATTGCTATCAGGTAGGGTTCAAGGGAGGCTATCAAGTAGTGGTTACAGACCACACTTCAAGGGTTATCTGTGGCCTGACAAGGCCTCCAGAACCTAGAATTTGGTTTATATATTTGCAGATTCAGGAATGAGTCTTCATTCACAAAAGATTAATCAAGCTGGGGTGAAAACCCCTCTAACTAGACTCAGCAAGAGGTAGTTTATAAGACTGTGTGTGTCATGTTTGTTTGTTCTTTACCTTGGAAAGCATGTCTGCAAGACCGGCTGGTACTAGTCATTTGCAAGAGGCCTGTGCCCTGGGGAGGAAGGTTCATAAAAGATTATATGGCATACCAGAGCCTGCTTGCTGAAGATGTTGACCAGATTAGACACTGCGCCCCAAACATGCCCTTTTAGAACCTTAGTAACTTTATATGGAAATCAGGTTGTTGAAGATGTAATTAGTTTAGATGAGGTTTTCTGGGATTGAGGAAGTACCTAATCCAACACAACTGATGTTTGTCTTATAAGAAGAGAGCCAGTAGTGGCCATAAAGGACTCAGGTAGAGATTGGAGTGTTGTGTTTGCAAGCCAAGAACATCAAGGATTGTTCCCTGCACCAGAAGCCAAGAGAAGGGTGTGGAACATATTCTACTCCATGGTCTTCAGAGAGAATACCATTTTGTTGACACCTTGGTTTTGTGCTTCTAGCCTCCAGAACTCCTAGAGAATAAAACCCTGTGGTTTTGTGTTTGTTTGTTTTTGATGTTGTTGAGTAAGGGTCTTTGTACATAGCACTGGCTGTCCTGAACTCACTGTGTAGACCAGGCTGGCCTTGAACTTATAGAGGTCTGCCTGCCTCTGCCTCAAAGGCATATGCCCCCATCATGTGTGGTAAAATCCTGTTGTTTTGAGCTATATTTAGGTTTGTGGTACTTGTTAGAGTATTCTTAGGATACCAGTATAGCATGGACTCTGAAGAGAACATTGTGTATTGTCAGAGCATGGATCAATTCAAAGCCTTGTAGCCTAGTATAATTGGTGTTGTTTCCCATGCTGGGAATTATCTGTACAGATTATTAGTATTGTCCTTAGGGTCACAGAGTATCTCTCTTTCATGAATGTAGAAACTGAGACCTTGAGAGATTAGATAATTTGTCCAAAGTCATCCAGTTTGAATGCTGGCAGAGCTAGGTTCAAACTTGGCTCCTTCTGACTTTTCTCCATGCCAAACAGACTCCTCATGGACAGGTGGGCTTTATGAGGTATATCTTGAAAGGAGGAGTACCAGCTCAGGACCCCCAAGGCCAAGTTTTTAGCACAAAGGAGATTTATTTGCCCCAGAAGGACAAAGGGCAGGAATAAGAGACCAAGACAGGAGATAGAGGATGAGGGAAAAGGGGAAGGGGCAGGGGTGTTTGTTCTGGAGGGACAAAGAACTGCCTCTGGATAGACAGGAGATTGATGTGGCACATAGGAAAATGATCATTTATAAAAGTAAAGGGGGAAACCCTATGTTAGGATGAAGTGTTTCATTTTAATTGGGTATGTTAACTAGGTGAGCCAAAGGAGGCTTTTGATTGCTGGACTTCAATACTTTGATAGCTCTTCCTTGGTAGTCAGCCTCAGGAAGAGGAAATGGCCAAATAAGGGACTAGACCTTGAAGGCTAGCTTTAGGAATGTACTCTTAAGAGTTTTTAGCAAGGCAGAGAGAATGGGGAAGAAGGGCAAAGGCCTGTTCAGGATGATGCATGGGGAATTCCTAAGGAGAGGACAAACATGGGAGCAGTCTCTTTTCTGGGCTCCCTAGCCTGCTGCCTGAGGGCACTCTCTCCGGCTTATGTTTATCTGAATAAAGACATCCTTATACCAATATTCCTCACTCTGTTTTTTTTTGTTTTTTTCCCTCTCTCTTTTCTTGAACATTCCAGGAAAACAGAAGAATTTTGTAAGAGTTTTGAAAATGGCATCGGGAAGGAACTGCATGAGCACCTGCTTGCCCAGGACAAGCAGAATAAGCATACCAGCTACATTTCAGGTAGGTTGGTGGGCGGGGCCCCATCATTTCCAAAGGCATCTTCTTAGTTCCTCCCCTTCCTGAAGTATGTGGAGGGAGGCCCTGTGAATCCCTATGTTTAGGAAGGTGTGTGCTGGCATCCATACCCAACACCAGCGGCTTGCCTTTGCTGTACACAGGGTTGAGACAGAACTTTTAAATTGGTTCTTTTGTCAGTCCTGTTGTCTTGAGTGTCATTGTGTTCCTTCACTGGCCTAAGTGTCCTTTGAAGTCCCTTCTCAAGTGCCTCTCTGATGCAAATCAAGCTTCAACCCACCTGCCTTTGTCTGGCTTCCTGAATTCTGTCAGTCTTTTGTCCATGTTGTTCTCATTTACATTTTGTTACTGTCGGATACTTCCTTTGTGATCCAGGTAGAGCAGTTGGTCTCTGAAACCCGGTTCTCTTTGTCTTCTGTCTAGAGTTAGTGGTGTCTACCCCTGTTCTTACACTTTTTAAAAATTTAACACATGTCTTTAATCCCAGCACTCAGGTGGCAGAGGCAGGTGGATCTCTGTGAGTTGGAGACCAGCCTGGTCTATAAGAGCTAGTTCCAGGACAGCCTCCAAAGCCACAGAGAAACCCTGTCTCGAAAAACAAAACAATACAAAACAAAAATTTAAGTTTTTTTTAGCTAAAAAATGTTTTATTGGCCAGGTGGTGGTGATAATGCATGCCTTTAATTCCAGCACTTGGGAGGCAGAGGCAGGTCGATATCTGTGAGTTAAAAGCCAGCTTGAGCTACAGAACTAGTTCCAGGACAGCAATGACTACACACATACACACACACACACACACACACACACACACATACATACACACACACACATACACAC